CCCCTCAACCCCAAGGCTAACCGTGAAAAGATGACCCAGATCATGTTTGAGACCTTCAACTGCCCCGCCATGTACGTCGCCATCCAGGCCGTGCTCTCCCTGTACGCCTCCGGTCGTACCACCGGTATCGTCCTGGACTCTGGTGACGGTGTCTCCCACACTGTCCCCATCTATGAAGGTAAGCAACTAATATTACTTTGCCTTTGCTCTTTAATTTTTATAGAACTATAATTATAAATGTTTTTCTCTGTGGTCCAGGTTACGCCCTTCCCCACGCCATCCTCCGTCTGGACTTGGCTGGTCGCGATCTGACTGACTACCTCATGAAGATCCTCACCGAGCGCGGTTACAGCTTCACTACCACCGGTATGTATTTGTAATTGTAATGTCGGTAACTGGAACTGAGTGTCTACTCTGTGCAACCTTCCACGAGCATGCACCCTCATCCCTAGTTGTCTTGTGAATGGCGCATGCCGACGCCAAACCCTATCCCTGCACGTATTTATTTACTTGACACAATTACAGCTGAGCGTGAAATCGTTCGTGACATCAAGGAGAAGCTCTGCTACGTCGCCCTGGACTTCGAGCAGGAAATGGCCACCGCCGCCGCCTCCACCTCCCTCGAGAAGTCCTACGAGCTTCCCGACGGTCAGGTCATCACCATCGGTAACGAGAGGTTCCGCGCTCCCGAGTCCCTGTTCCAGCCTTCATTCGTGGGCATGGAATCTTGCGGTATCCACGAGACCGTCTACAACTCCATCATGAAGTGCGACGTCGACATCCGTAAGGACCTGTACGCCAACAATGTCCTGTCCGGTGGTACCACCATGTACCCCGGTATCGCCGACAGGATGCAGAAGGAGATCACCGCCCTCGCTCCCTCCACCATCAAGATCAAGATCATCGCTCCCCCTGAAAGGAAGTACTCCGTATGGATCGGTGGTTCCATCCTGGCCTCCCTGTCCACCTTCCAGTCCATGTGGATCTCCAAGGACGAGTACGACGAGTCCGGCCCCGGCATCGTCCACCGCAAGTGCTTCTAAATGTGATCATCTCTCATCAGATTGCACTACATCTTTGTGTGTCGTGGACCAACTCGAAAAGGACTTGCGTGCGTGTGTCGCTGGTGGCACTGCAGTGTGGCTCTTGGCCCTCCTAGCTGCGCTTTGCTAGGATGACGTCATGTGGGGTGGCAATTACATCATCATCATCATTTCACCTACTTTGTCAACGGCAAATGTAGGTCAAGTGTGTTTAGGCGCATGTTTTAAAAAACTACATTCATCAATCACGTATAAGGCTGTTCCTCCAATAAAGATCTTTGTTATACTTTTGACGACTTTCTTCTGAGTCTCGACTGTACGCCCTCGGTCCCCCACCCACTCGCCCCTCCCTCCACACTGGGTGGGATGGCAACACATGTCGCCGACGCCGCGAACACCGAACACTTTTCCTCGCCAATCGCACACGCGAAATTAAAGAGAAGGGGTTCCTGGGTCTGGGTAGGGGCTGAGACACGTGGTGACCACACCGGCCGACGACGGCGCGACCTCGGCCTGTACCAAGCGCCACGGTCAGGGCTGCCATACCCCCCGCCCCCGACGTACCCCACGCCGCGGCCCTCCCCGGCCCCTCCCGGGCCCCCGCAGCCCTTCCCTACTCGCCACGGCCCTCCCCTTTTAAGGGGCCTTCGCCGAGCTCCGCGGCGACGACGGCGCGTCTCTAAAAATACCGGCGCCGCGGGCCCGTATGTCGGCGGCGCCGTCGACGACGACGCCCAGGGTTGCGGGAGCTGCTTCGGGGGAAGACGGCGGCGGTGCCGAAGCTCCACGCCGTAGTCAGGGCGGCTCGAGTGTGGCGGAAGGGCGCGCCGGGGCCGCAGCCGGGGTCGGGCGGGTCAGCCTGGTGTGCCGCGTCACCGGCGGATGTGAAGAGGCACACAGAAAAGAGCTGCGAAAATTAGAACTCACAAGAGAAAAGCAGAGTGCTGTCCTCGGTCGCTGTGCCCTTATCGACAAGGAGCAACGGCAAAGGGAGGGGG